TGTGACCTGATTTTCCAGCTCTTTGGTTCTGGCCCACTGAGTGTGATTTTTCTTCCTGAATTCAGCCCAGGTAGGGAGTAAGTCACACAAATGCATATCTAAAAACTGAACCGAATTCTTATTTGGAGAGCAGGGAATTAGCAGGGCTCAAGCAGTGGCTATCGCTCGCCTGCTATTCAGATCTTTTATGAGAAAGCATTTTGATAAAATATGCGATGATAATAATGAAAGCCCCTTTGAGGACCAAGGAGAAAGGGGAAACTCAAATTTATGTCAAAAACTGATGTGAATAGGAGGAAGGATCACACACACATATATAAACCTTTAAAAGGTAAACATAAAAGAAACGACTGGCTAAATTTATCTCTTTGTCAGTGAAAAATAGCCTGAGCCTTAGCCAAGTCTGTTACCAATTCTTAAACTGAAGGGAAAAAAGGAAAGGCGCACTACAGAGCAGCACTATCAAACAGAACAGTGAGCAGCGATGGGAAGGTTATCTGTGCGGTCCAACCCCGCAGCCACGGACCACACTGGCTCTGGCCACTTGACATGTGGCTAGAAAGACAGAGGAATCAAATTTTTAATTGTATTTCATTTGCATTTCAACGTAAATAGCCACATGTAGCTAGCGGTTCACTGTATTGGACAGCTCAGCTACAGACCCTCAAACCAAACAGCTGACAACATCTTTCTATTCCTTTAACAAAATCACAATCTAATCAACCAATAATATCACCAAAATTAGTACAGGTCCCTGGCCATGCCAAATTCAGAAAAGGAAGGAAGGAGGGAGGGAGGGAGGGAAGGAAAGAAGGAAGGAAGGAAGGAAGAAAGGAGGGAGGGAGGAAGGAAGGAAGGAAGGAAGATTATTCCAGTATGGCACATTTCCTGTAGTTTTGTTCTAACCATCTACTCCGCATTTCTGTTACACTATGGCTTCGTGTATTTGGAAATCTGTCCTTGTAGGTGGATTCTTCGTTTGCTGAACCAAAATGTCACAATCTCCCCCCTTAAGGTTCTCAGAAACATGAAAATGTGGACTCAGTAAGTTAATGTCACTAAGCTTCAATTTCCTTAAGAATAAAGTGCAAATAATGTTAATACTCCAAGATAATGCATATATAGTGCCTTGCAAAGAGTAAGCACTTAGCAAGTGGTAGCTGTAACTGTTAGTATTTTGTTAATAACAATATTAACATCTGTAATAAAATAGAACAGTTCTAATGCAATGAAAGTTTACAGTCAGCAAACATTTCCTAGGTCCAAATATACTTTGAATGTGTTTCCTAGGCTACGGTAAAGTGGCCTCCAGTAAAACATCTTGGGGCCTTGACATCTTGGTACCCCACTGTCAACCTCCAGAGAAACAAAAACCAAGATGGGTAGCATGAGTCACAAAAATCATTCAGCCAATGTTTACTATGCCCCTACCCAGTGGCAGCACCATACTAGGCTCTCAAAGATGAGGAGAACGGAACCCAAACACAGACCCCTATAAAGCATGGTCAGCAGTTGATGAGATGAGACACCCTGATGAGACACAAAAATGTCATGCTGGGGTCACACACAGGCAGAAAGGTACACTTCCTATTTCCAGGGTTAGCTAAGACCAAGTTCTACTCTTGGCTCCCCAGAGGTATTAGGTAACCTTTGTGGTATAGACCCATTTTCTCAGCCAGGACAGTAAGAGAGGTAGTGACAGGCCCTGTTTCTCACTAAAAGGCTAAAATCACTTTTACAGGAGACCCTTCTTTGAGTCTTCCAAAAGCCAAATTGACTGGCCTCTCAGACCAAACACAACCCATTTCAACAGCCAGCTGCCCAAGCCAGTGAAATCCAAGGGGAATCTCCACCAAGTTCACATCTACCACATCAATGTGCCAAAAATCCCCCAGGAGTTTCTAAGCAGAAGTTTAGTGGAATTCTGTGTGGCTTGGGGTCATTTTTCTTTTTATAGAAGGCATTCAATCTTCTTTCATAACTGAGGGTACATTCCCCTATGGAATTCCTTTTTCTAAAGATATCTAAAAATAAAATATTCATCTAATAGCCTACAATAATTTAAGTTAAAACCCGTTTACTGGCAGAGTGGGGGATTTCTTACATCCCCTGCACCTATGAAAACAACGTGCTCCAGACTCTCTCAGTTGGTCCCAATTTCTGGGTCTCTCTGGCCCCAGAAGAACACTAGTTAAATCATACTCGGGACTTTAAGATAGGAAAGGTAGCGTTGTCTCTGGAATCTCTTACTTGTATCCTTCACTGGTGGGAGTGTAAAATGGCATAACCACTTTGGGAAAAGGTCTGGCAGTCTTCTCATCAGGTTCTTATAAACCACCTCTATGACCCAGCAACTCACAGCTAGTATTTACCCACGAGAAATGAGAACACATGTCCCTGGGAAAACTTATACACAAATATTCACAGTAGCTTTGTTCATAAACAAACAAACAAAAAAAAATAGCCCATGTGTCCATCAGTAAAAAAAATCTAAACAAACTATGAAATAGACATATCCAGGAATATGACTCAGCAATAAAAAAGAACTCACTGATAAAACATAGATGAATCTCAAAAACATGGTGAGTAAAAAAAGCTTTACACAATACTGTTGAATTCCATTTACATTAAGTTCAAGGACAGGCTAAACTAATCTATGATGAGCAACAGGGCAGTGGTTACCACTAAGAGGTGGGGGGCAGAAATTCACTGAGAATGCAGATGAAAGGAACTTTCTGGGGTGTAGTAATGTTCTCTGTCTTGATAGGGAGTAGGGTTACACAGGTGCACGCATCTGTCAAGACATTATTCAAACAGTACTTTCTAGATTTATGCATTTCACTGTGTATATAAATTTTACCTTAAGAAAGCCATGAACATATATTGGACTCTAAATAATAAAATACGTGCTGAAATATTTAGGAGCAACTTGTACCAATGCCCATAATTTACTTTAAAATGCATGAACCAACTGTCTGGACTGAGGGATGGAGGATAGAGGAATGGATGGGTGGACAGATGTGTAATAAAGCCCAAAAAAGGCAACGTTAATTACAGACTCTAGGTGTGTGTATTTAGGTGGTCACTGTTTTTCCAACTTTTCTGCTTTAAAAAGTGGGTTGGAAAGGGTAGAGTCGCAGTGCCCCCTCCTCAATCAACCAAGTTAGAAATTTAGTTATAAGGTACCCATAACCACCAAGCCATGGGACCATATAGTTTCAATTCTGCTGAAAAGTGAAGACTAGAAGAACACAAGCAGCTTTACAGGAACTCACATCACTCATGCCAAAGATTTTCTGCCTGTTTCCCTACAGACAAAGCAATTATGTGAATGTAAGCCAAAAATTCCTGCTCAAGAGGGAGAAAAAGAACACACTGACTTGTATTCCCAATTTATTCCCTTTCAATTCCTGCACCAAATCTATTAGCTAACTGCACAGCCTTCCACTTCCATTTGCCTCCAGTCCATGCAGCCAAAAAACAAACAAAGAAAAACCAATCCAGTGACATACAAATGCAGCCAGATGATGACGTCCCAGCTCTTGGGCTTGAATTACTCAGGCGGGCCAGAAACCCCACTGAAGGCAAAGAGGATGCAGCACTCAGTCTGAGGTTAAAGTGATTTCACTGAGGTTAGCACACATGCACCAAACAGCCCCAAACAGCTTGATGCTTAACCCTTCTGTGGGGTTTGGTGACATCTAGGTCATCAGAACTTCTTTGGAATTCAGCTGTTCAGAGATACAAATTGGGAATCCTGGCAGCCGGTGGCACGTGGAGAGCATAGTGGCCCTACCCGCAGGCCCAGAGGTCGCTCACATTACACCCGGTTTCCTTCCTGGCAAGGCCTTACTTATCCTGAGATGACACACGATGGCAGGGGTTGGAAGACGCCTAGTATGATTGAGCGTCCAGCATCTGAAAACAGCTGGGCCGACTGCAAGAGGGGCTGTTGCTGGAAACCGGGCAGCCACTCACAAATAGAGATTTATGCCAGACTTAAAATATGTATATATATATATATATATATACACACACACACACACACACACACACTTTTTGTTTGTTTTAAAGCCCCCAAAGAAACTCGCTGACACACTCCGGTGTCCCTGGGGACTACCCACAACCATACGGGGCAGCTGAGGGCAAGCAACGGGGGCAGCAGGGAGCGCGCCTGGGTCTAGAACCTTGGCCTCCACGCGATTCTAGCTGCCAAAGACAGCGACACCCGAGGTGAAGGGCACCAGACTTGGCCCAAGACAGCGTGCGTGCGCAAGGCCACAACGCGGCTTCCTGAAATACACACCAGCTCCTCCCCGCCCAGACCCGTACCCATCGCGGTCTCCCCCAGCCCAAGAAAATGGATTAGGACAAGGAAAGAAAATCCCATACAGAAGAGGAGGTCCCCGTTTTCAGTGCTCTCCGCGCCCCAGTCTCCATGCCTCCGGTAGCTGCCGTGCTTTCCCTCAGCGCGGCATGTTTGCTCCCACCTACCCAGCACCTTTGCCCCCAGAGCAAACCTACCTTCCAGGGCACAGGCCAAGGGGGCAGCCGCGCGCACCCCTGAAACCTGGATTCTGTGGCCAGCTACTGCCTGATCTTTGTGAGGACCCCAGGCATAAGTGTGTTCTGGACCCACCTGTAGCCTCAAACATCCCACTCCACGTCCTTCCTAGGCACCCCTGAGCCTGTAGAACCCACAACTACCAACAGGCTACTCTGGACTGCCTCTCCCTACAACGCGCCAGAGAATACTCTCCCCTGCCCACCCCACCCCCCAAAAAAGTTGGCCCGAGACTCTGGAGTGCCATCCATCGGCCCCTGTCCCCTGCTACCCGGGCCAGGGGGTGCTCTTCTGAAACCTCCGGAGCCTCGGCTCAGAGCAACCTGCAGAGAGGCGCCACGAGGAGCTATCCCTGCCCTGGGGGACACGGTCTGCGAGGCTAAATGAAGAGGCCTGTACCCGCCGACACCCCAAACTCTGTCACGCCTCTACCTACCGTTTGGGACAGGCGGAGAAGGCGGCGCGGGTTCCCTGAAACAGCGTGTTCTGTCCCGGGAGGAAAGTTTGTGCCATACAGAGGAGGCGGTGCGAGGAGAACGTGGGCGCCAATGGGTGGGGGTTGGGGCAGCGGCGGCGCAGCAGCCCGGGTGTCTGTCTCTCCGGCGATCGGTGCCTCTGTCCCTCCACGGAGCTCGCGGCAGCAGCGCTCTCTCTCTCGCTGCGCCCTGCGCCCGGCGCGCTCCGGCTCCAGCCCCGACGCGCCCCCGCCGCCGCCGCCGCGCGTCCGCCGGCTACACTTCCTCTTCCTCTGAACTCATGTGCAAAATATGCTACGCTGCATCTTCAGGGGAAGCCGAGCGGCCCCTGACAGCCGCCACGGGAGCTGTGGGCCCGCCCAGCGCCCCCTCCACGCCCCTCTGAGTTCCGCGCGGTCACTTCCACGCGGCCACGCCGCGAGCGACCCTCTCAGCGAGCGACGCAGGGATCTGAGGCTTACCTCCCTCCCTCTTGACTCCTCCAAAATACAGTTGTGTGCTGTCAGGACAGAGCGTGGGAGAATGGGATCCCCTAGATTTTGAGCCCAGGTGCTGGAAGAACGAATGCCACCAAAGTGCTGACGGCTGGGGGTGGGTAGGGGGGAGACCTAAGAGAGACATTTCCTCAGACCCCATTCCACAGGTGGAAGCGTCCCCAGACATCTCGGGTGCTGCTGAAGTTAGTTCCTGGGAGTTAGTGTATTAAGAGGAGAATAATGCCATTGTCCCCTTTGCACACCACAATTCACCTACTGCAAGTGTCCAGAGATTTGAGAAGATCTGGAAAATCATCTTGCCTGGCAACTCGAGGTGCCCAAGGAAAAATTATATAAATAAAGCCCAGGAACAGAGCAGCTTTGTTAAAGTGAAGACATGAGTCAATGAGCCCGTTATAAAAGATTTTGTTCCTGAAACTCTTTTCAACAAAGCAAAATTACAGTTGCAGGGGTTAAGATCAGAAACTCTAAAGCCAATGATCAGAGTTGGCTTCTGTACTTACTGGCTGTGTGACTTTGGGTAAGTGACTTAACTGTTCTGGGTCTGGTCATTTGTTATATAGCACAACTTCATGGGTTATTACAAGTAAAATGTTTAGGAAGCACTCTATAACTTAGCTATTATCCTTGTTATTACCATTACTACAAGGCAGCTAGAACTAGGAGGCTGAAATAATCTAGTTAATTATCTCCATTTTCTGGTTGGGCAAAGAAGGGTCCTTAGGCACTGGGGCCCACTGGGTGGAAGGCCGGTTTTAATGAGGTCCTTGTGGTACTAATAACAGTCCCCCAGGGAGTAAGGAAGCACTCTTTTGTTTTCAGGGACTGTTCTTGTTGCCACAGTTTCTCAGAGATTTTCTTCCTTGTTTTCTTTTTGGTAGCAATCCGGGTTCTGTTTTCCTCCTCCATCCCCCACCACTGTTTTGCTTTTGGCTTTGGTTTTTCTCTCCTTTCCCTTTCCACCCCACCTCTTCCTACTTCCAGGCATCACTCACCACCACCTCCTGATGTCCCCATTCCCCCCACACACTTGAGCTTGTCCTCTGGGAGAAACGAACAAAGTCAGGTAATGGCCCAGTCCAGATTCTACCAATAATGTGTGGGGACAAGTGTCCAGTGGTGCCAATAGTTGTGACTTCCCATTATGAAGCCAAAGGGAGGGAGCTTTATGATATGTATCTGCCTGAGGCCTTGAGTGGCACAAGTCAGGGCCCATCTGAAATCTTTCTGATCTTTCATGACTATTAGAGTGGAGAAAAAAAAAACTCTCATAATACTACATGGTTTATATATCTCACATTTCTTTTAAATAAAAGAACATTTATAGGTGTTAACCAGTAGATCACATGTAAACGCAGATATTTAAAAGAAGGTAAAAGGGAAGAGGGGGGAAGTACAGCATAATGTGGGTGTGGGGGAGCAGGTGGTTGATTTCCTTTAAGCGAATCATTTTCATTCTATAAAACTCTGGTGCACAGTTGGATTGTGGTAGTATTTTGGGGGCGATTGTGTGTTTTTTTTGTGAACACTACATCCTTGACATTAATATGCTATTCTGATTGTTTCCATTTTCTCCTGCTCAGTGTTTCCCTAAGTACTAATGGTGTGTAAAGGTCTTAAATGATTTTTTTCCCCTACTTGGATCTGCCTTTTTGAAGATTTTCTAGAACTCTTGACCTTTTCTCCCAGATATTGCGTTGCTTCCTACCTAACACACAGTAGGTGTGTTCAATAAACATTTATAGAATGAATGGATAGTCAATGCCTTCCAGATCTTTTAAGGTTTGTGTAACCTACATTGAACAATTATCCAGAGTGTTCTAATTCTCTTTCACCTGGAATGCTGAATAAGGGGACAAATGCTGGATTTGTTCGTATCGTGTGGAGAGCTGCCTCGATTTTTCACTTGACTCCCATGGACTGCCCAGGCAGGGGATAGACCCTGGGCAGCTGGACCTCACCTCTAACTGACCTCACATATCCAGCGTCAACCCCAAAGATGCTGGAACTGTATCCTAGTGGGTTACCTTGGCAACCTCACAATGTCATCTGTTAGAATGTCCTAGGGCGGCAGCTTTTAATTCTATCACAGCGGTCTCATCGGGGGTCATGTAATAGTGCTGTTTTTCCTCTGCTCACACTTCCTCCCCCTATGATTTAACACTAAGTATTCAGGGAGGGAGCTGAACACGGGGAAAACCAAGCTATTACTGCATGACAGGTCACATATGGCCCCAGAACTGGGATCCCAAGCATTCACAGTCGATAACACACAGTCCCCAAGTTAATGGGAAAGCTGGTTCCTCTCACACCCCTCATGAAAAGGAGAGGAGTTAAGCCAGCCTAGGCAAGTGTAAGAAGCCTCCGTGGCCAGACTGCACAATTCTTCTAAAAGCTCAGTGAAAGGAGCCCCCTGCTGAAGTAATTCTTACCCGGCCTCAGCAGCAACACCCCACTCTGAAGATGATTAAGGCTATGGGTACCAGTAGCTGGCGCAATTTCTGCTGCATCCTAGCTATGCTGAAGCTTGGAGGGAAAGAGAATCCCAGCTCACCTTGTGTTCTGTGCACTCCTCACCCCGAAACCCCTATCCTTACAATTTCATTCCACTTGGGTCCACCCTGCTCCTAATTTAGTTCAAAATAATTCAATCCCCCCTTATTCTATAAAGAGTAATAACAACTTCTGGGAGAAATGGACCCAACAAAAGCTTTGGAACCTGAAGAGCTATTGTCCTAATTGTTTATTTACAAGACCATAAAACTTAGATCCCACACATGCCAGCTGAACAGCAACGTTTCAGGGCTGGTAGGCGAGATAACTGAACTCATCTGCACCCTGGAGGTGCAAGATTTATTCATCTTCGTCATTACAGCTAATATTTTAAGTAGGTTTACAACCCCATAATATCATAGTTTGGCCAGCTGCTCCACACTAAATGGTTATAGGACGCTGGCCCCTTGTAGAGTAACAGCCATGCCTATCAGGAGGCACAGTGGCAGAGGCCTGAGTTCTGTGCCCCAGAGCCAGTGGTTTTGGAGGAGTCCCTTGCCTTTGTTCATTGTGACCTTGCCTTTGTTCATTGTGAAAGGCACAGCCCTGGCAAGACTCTGGCACTTCTGGTCACACTAGAGCAGAGCACACTTGTGCCAGTGCCAGAACATGTCTTTAACTCCCCAGTGATGCGGGAGCATGAATCTGGGTGGAGATAGAGAGTTCACTGGGGTATTTCTTGTATATGTATTGATCAGCGAAGGCCAGGGACTTTTGTCTGAAGTATAGTCAAACCAATACTTTAAAAATGCCACCCACAGACACCACCAATTTGAGGAAAGACTGGATGACAGCCAAATGTTTCATTCACCTCCATACAAAAAAATAAAAAATTATTATTCTTCTGCTTCTGAATCCACTCCTCTTTTTACCTCTGAATTCCCAGTCTGAGTCAGGCAGTTCAGGGGAACAGGGGCCCTCCTGTGGCTAAGAGAGAATTTGCTCTCTGGAGCAAAGAGCCATCAGGACTGAATTTCTTCAACAGGCTGCTGTCTGCAGCCTTGCTTCCCTCATGCAGCCTGTCCATCCACACTCACACCCCTTTACTGGTTGTTCCATTCGTAGAACACATATATTGACTTGCATTTCTGAGCAAGCTTTATTACGAGAGAGAAGGGGGGAAATGTACGTGTGTGTGTGTGTGTGTGTGTAATGTATGTATGTAGGAAGTCTATGCAGTCCACAGATGTCAAAAGAGGAAGTTGTGAAACTAAATCTTTATTAAATGAATGGTGGGGCAATATTTTGACATATTAATTAATTGTATTCCCTTTACCCCACCACACGTACATCCTCACTGTATTTCTTGCTATGCTTTACCCACCCTCTTCTCATCAACTTAGACAGCTAGAAGAGACACAGTTGTCACAGGGACAGTTATCACAATACCAGGAAAAAAGTCAAATTCATGCTTTTGAGTTTCAAAAGTCAATGTCCAAATATAAAATGAAAAGATACAGAAAAATAGGAAATTGAGCAGAACCATTGTCCTTCTCTTGTCTTTTTTTTTTTTTTTTTTTTTTGAGACAGAGCCTCAAGCTGTCCCCCTGGGTAGAGTGCCGTGGCATTACAGCTCACAGCAACCTCCAACTCCTGGGCTCAAGCGAGTCTCCTGCCTCTGCCTCCCAAGTAGCTGGGACCACAGGCGCCCGCCACAACGCCCGGCTATTTTTTGGTTGCAGCCATCATTGTTGTTTGGCGGGCCCGGGCTGGGGATTCGAACCCGCCACCTTAGGTGTACGTGGCTGGCGCCTTAGCCTGTTGAGCTATAGGCGCCGAGCCTCTCTTGTCTTTTTTTCTGCTAACAATTCCCCATCTCTCTATCCTATATGTACATCCACATCCCATGGATGGATAAAAGCTGCCCAACTGGAGAAAGGGGAGTGAAAAGAGGCAGAGGGGACATGTCACTGGGCAGTGCTTGGTAGGACCCAGTATCTGACCAGAGTCAGAGTTCAAAAACACACTACCCTTGGGTCAAGTGAAAATTATCCAACCACCACACTTTAGGAACCCCTTGGATAATTGCTCAGTGCTCAGCTCTTAGAATTTGTCCAGGAAAAACACCTTCAGTAGAAGAGAGAACTATGCTGTTCATCCTTCCCACGAACAATGGGTGATGAACTCCCATCAGTCAGCCCCAGCACAACCTGTGGACCATCCAGAAGACTAACTCCTAGTCTGTGATTCAGCCCTCATTTAATAGCCTAAGATGTTGGCAAGCCCTTGAGATGTAGTATAGA